CTTAGTCATGTTCAACCTCACCTGTTATGTGTACTTATTATGGACCATATAAAATCACTGACTGTTGACATTGAAAAATTATTTTTATTTTATTGAAAATTATTCAAATTAAGTAAAATGTAATAAAATAAAATGTATTTATTTAAAAGTGTTACCAAAGAGCGCACTCTTTTTTTAAAGGGGTCATATGATGCGATTTCAAGTTTTCCTTTCTCTTCGGAGTGTTACAAGCTGTTCGTGAATAGATAAGATCCCTGAAGTTGCAAAGACTAAAGTCTCAAAACCAAAGAGATATTCTTTATCAAAGTTAAGACTCTGCCACAGCCCTCTAAAACGGCTCGTTCTAACACGCCCCCACATATCTACCTCACTATGTGGGAATATTTGCATAATGCCGCCCAAATGTGCACGCAAAGAAAGAAGGCGTTGAAGACAGCGCGTTAGTTTAGAACTCTTCTAATTATTATTTTTTTTATTGTAGAGAGTGTGTTAATTTGTGCAATGATAACCTACCAGCAATGTAAATGATTTTTTAAAATATATTAGAATGAGTACATTACAATATAAATTTATTAGAACGAGTACATTATTATTTATGGGTTTAAAAACAAGATGCAAACAATCAGAATATTGTACCTGGTTGGGAGCGCACAATGTAAACATAAAACATATGCCATTACCTATATTGTACTGTGTTTAATAAACAGCTGTTTTATTAAATTCTGCTGAGGTGAAATTCAGTGCAGTCATGTATCGTGATATGTATCGCATCGTGGCCTCTGTATCGTGACTTTGCTGGTGATACACAGCCCTACTACATATGCTGGGGTGTGAATTTGATAGGTGCTTGATATAAAATAAATGGTGCTTTAAAAAGTCCTTGAAAGGCCCAATCACAATGCACTGGGTCAGCTGGCCAATCAGAGCAGACTGCGCTTGTCGGAAGGAGGGACTTTGTAGAAAATGAAGCGTTTGAGAGAGGCGGGGCATAGAGGACCTACAATAATGTACAGTATTTGAAAAATAATGTGTTTTTTGAACATTAAAGCATGTCAACATATTCTGTTACACCAAATACACAAAATAATGATCTTTAAAAAAGCATCATATGACCCCTTTAATACTTTCTTTTTGGTAAGCATCACTAACAAACAATGAGCAATACATTTGAGACAGTATTTATTAATCTTTCTTGAAATTAGTTAATAAAAATACAACTATTCACTGTTAGTTCATGTTAGCTCAAGCCCAATACTAATACAATTAACTTATGTTAACAAATTGAACCTTATTGCAAATTATTACAAACAATTCTGTAGAAAACATTGTCACATTTATAGGCATATTTGTCATCCGTAATTAATTTTTCCACAAAGAGAAGCGTCCATTAACAAAATAAATAGTCCACTATTAAGTTGGGCCATCTTTTCAGCTCATGCAAGTGTACTTAATTTTTTGCATATTTGTCAAAAGCATTATTCTTTATAGGTAAAATGTTACTTTGTGCACTTTTAAAGTACTAACCCAAATTAGCCTGCTGATATCTATATTAAGAGGTTATGACTGGTGCTTTTTGGTCATCATGTATAACCTTCAAACGTAATTGGTGATCTGAAAGTTATCTTTTGCGCAAGTCTTGCAGAACAAGTCAAACGGCCTAATCAAGCTACATTGAGAGTTTAGGAAACTGATACTGAAAGCACGGGGAAGTTTGTGGATATATCTAGAAAAAAAAAACACTTCTTTATAAGGTAACAAATGGCACTGGAAGAAGTGGGAAGAAAAAACTTCTCAAAGCCAAGTGACGCAGTAAACAGCAAATGTTCACACTGAAATCTTGCCAGGTTTTGAATGAACACAACAAACAACTTTCAAGCAAAAGCTTAACAGTGAATCCAAGTATAAATCAGAAAGTACAAATGAACAGCCTCAATGTTGATTAAATCAACCATCTAACTGCAACATCATCCATCAAATTTCATCTCAAAAGAACACTTACCATTAGGGATTTCCTCCATTACCAGTGAGCTCTCCAGCTTCAGAGATTCTACAGTACTGCTGTCTGGATCTTTGCCGTGTTGTGCGTCTGGCTGCTGAGGGTTGGCCTCAAATGAGGCTGTTTCCTTATTTCCATTTTCCATATCTCTTGCAATACAGATGCTGCTCTAGCATCCATGAACATGAGCTGGGTCTCACCAATGCAATTCACCTTTACTTCATGCTCTGTAAACATTGGCTAAGACTGCAGGCTGGCCTGGATGGTGCAGACAGCTTCAGTCCTCGGTGATCCTGAACAACGGAAACATTAGTTTAAGTCATCCATACTGCGAGAAGAGTTCAAGATTTATTGCTCAGTTAAAGCAAAATCAGCAAAAAATATGAAAAAAATATTTCATAATTTAGTCACAATGCTGACTTACTTATGTCATTGGATGTGGCACTAGCCGTTTAATTCTTACTTTGTCTATTGTTTCTATGAAGTTCCCCTCAGGAAACCACAAATCTCTATCCTGCAAAGATAAAAATAAGAACCTTTGTTTTTGACAGTTGACATTTTTTATATGCAAAAAATTAAGTACACTTGCATGAGCTGAAACTTAAACTTGGCCCAGCTTAATAGTGGACTATTTATTTTGTTAATGGACGCTTAGATAAATATTATTTATTTATTTTAAATAATAGTCCACTGATTCTTGAGACATGGGACAAAACATGTTCCGCAACTTTTCCTGCCATTAGCACTCAAAACAGCAATTTTGAAATGATTCAGGGATGATCACTAGAATGTTCTGATTCGGAATATTCTGATTTTCTCTTAATTTACTGAAATTATGACATTACATTATCATTCACTCCATCTTAAACCACCTGTCCTCGAACCATAACTTAATACTTAATGTATATTAAAAATTAATTTTAAATAAGAAAAAAAAAAGTTATCTAAATGTCTCTTATGAAGAAAAATAATAAAATAACAATTTCTCATTTATTAGGTTTCAATTCAGTAAAAAAAAAATCTAAATTAATTAATTAAAAAACAAGCTCTTATAACAATGTTTCAACCCAAACAAGGTATTTGTCTTTTATTGGGTTTCCAATGCACTGGCAAATGGTTCCTGCATTTAATGCATGTGTGATATGCAAAATATGTTTTAGTCAACACAGTTATCCATCAACACTTTATGAAGTCAGCACTTAGGTTTTCGGGCTTACTATTAATGAAATTAAATAAATTCTGAACTAGAAATCCGCTTTCAATTCATTCTGTAGACTCCATTCATTCACTGAAGTGAATGCTTTATTTGGTCATTTTGAAATGAGTGACAGGTGGTGATGACTCATACTGAGCTATAGGCCAGGGGAAAACAGTTTTGTGAGAAAATGGAAGAAGTAGGATATTGAACAATTCTTTCTTATAAAAACTTTTATCAGTACTGTAGTTTATTTTGTTCTAGTATTTAGAAATCAGTCAGTTGTTATAGCTTAGTGTCATGATAGACTAGTAACTGACAAGACATGATATTGTTTTTTTGCTTCTTTTTGGTTCTTCTTGCACAATGTAACACATCAGTGTGGTGGAGTAATAAGGTTTCTGTGTCACTCAAGGCTGGACGATTAGACTGACCATCAACACGAGTCTAACTATAGACTAGTACGGTTTAAGACACTTTTCAGACATCTGGCATGCAACCGAAGCTGACATGACTGTAAAATCAACCCAAATATATTCATTTTAAAAATCACATATGGACGGATCAGGCTGTCAACAGCGTTTTAATTAACTGTCACTTTCAGGAAAGGGACAATATCTCTGACTTTAAAGTAACGTAATGAGCTGAAAATGAAAGCACAGCCACAGACAAACTAATCATGATAAATATCAACAGAACGGGAACGGCGAAAAATCTCAGGAGATAACAGTGTCAATGTGACTTTATTATTATAAATCTCTGATCTCATTAGCATCAGCCTTTAGCCACTTAGCCACATCGCAAGATATCCAAAAACCTTAAGCAACTGATGCGTGACACTTACACACGACCGTGCTTCTGCAAAACACGTGAAATGGTGAATAATTAGTGTGGAGATTAGAAGAAAGTATAAAAAGTATTTTAAGCACCAACCTCAGACGTGCTCCTGCCTATACTACGTGGCTGCTTAGGTTCCGTCCTTCAAACAGATCCGACTCGCTACGGTTTTCTCAACATTAAAGGTTCCGCATAGAGTTGCTGCGTAATAATTAAAGCGCAAACATCTATAGATTTTAGAATCCACTATAATGATTTGTATATCCATCTTATTTCACAGTAATCAGCTGATAACGCATATTTATTAGTATCGTTAAATACCAAAATTCTTCTTATCAATTGTGGATCTACTTATGTAAAGTGCATATACATTTTGCCGTTTTTGTTTTATATCAAATTATTTGAACGTATAGGATTCTACTATCAAATGAAACAGAGCTGTCCCATAGTCTCCATATGATATGCTATAAACCAATCAGAAAAATCATATTTGTCCCATTAGGCTTGTAAATGGAAGCCAAACAGACACTGATGTATGACAAAGCGTCAGCCTTTAATTTGGTTTGATCACAATCCTTTTACATGATCTATAATTAGTCACCACTATAAAATGTGAGATTTCAAGTCAATCATCAAATGCCAAATGTAAGTGAAGGGACTGCTGCTTTTATCAAAAATGGTCAAAAACCAGGAATGGTGAAAATTTGCTTTTCATCAAACACAATATCAAAACTGCAATTCCTAAAACATACATTAAAAATAAAAACAAATAAATAAAAAAGCAAAACAATGTCTAAGAGCCCAAATTATTGTGCATGCAACCATTGTAAGATCACATACGATACACCTCAGATATGCCCTGTAAATCTTGATCAGTGTTTCTCAGAATTTAAGTTGTAACAACCCTTATGGAATGAAAACAATATTTAGTGATACAGTATTTATTTCACTTATTTTCCTATAAAAAACAACAAAAAAAAGCATTTATTGTGCATCATCACAGGATAGGCCCCTCGACATTTTTAATTCTTGTTACTTTTCCCACACTCAATTGAGAGTCAACCATTTTTATTTTCTTGATTACTATTTCAAACAGAAGAGGGTCACACTCATTACAGGTTGAAAACTTCCTTCAGTTATTCATGAAAGAGCTGACATTTTATTTTTTGCCAGATGCAGCCCTCCACAGAAAATTAGCCATTTTAGTCATTCAATAGTAAATTCAAGCCACAGAGAAGTCAAATGTTCCTCGTGTGACTTTATTGTTAGGAAAAGTCAAAGATCTCAGATACTCATTCTCCCTATCAACTCATACAGCCCACTCTCTTATCTAGACACTCGCAATATTACTCTTTAAAGTACAAAAGAAAAACAACAAAAGAGGTTACCCAATGTGGGAATCAATCAATAGCACAAGCCTTGTATCATAGCATGTCATGTAAATACACAAATACATGATGACTGACGACTGGTCCACAACGTATGAGAAAATGAAGGGCGAAATTACAGTTTATGAATGGGACAAAAGCTCACAACATCTTAATGACTGAGAAATGGATGCATTAAGAGTGGCACCAAGGTCTTGTGAAGTTGTGGTCAAAAAGAAAACTGTCCAATTTTTCATTTTCAGAGTCTGTTGTAGAAAAGGGGAAAATAGCAAGTGGAGGATCCGTATGAAGCGGCGTTCCTGGGCTCATTTCTTCTCCTCCTCACCAGCCTTCTCTTTCTTCTCTTCCTTCACCTCTTCTTTCTTCTCCTCTGAACTCTTTGTCTTGTCATCATTCACAGACAGCTCCTCCAGCTTCTCTGCCACTTTGTTAGCGCTGTTCATGCTACCTGTGAAACGAGATTTAAAAGGATCAATTGAAGGCTCTTGAAGGAGTACTCCAATACAAGCCTAACTCAGATTTAAGAAATAATAATAAAAAAAAATGTCTGAGAAGATACGGTCACCTCCCAAATGAATGGCAAGGCAGTTTGTAATGTTCTTCCTGTTACTGTCGCAGACATAAAAAGTCTAAGGCTGGAGGTGTCAGTCTTAAACAGAGTGAGTCTGCATGGTGACATGGTAGAAAATTCCATCAATCTTACCTTCTAGAGATTTTCTGACCTCTTCTTTGCATTCATCAAACTTCATCTTGAACTTCTGTGCATCTACAAGACAAAGAAAACCAGTAGGTTGGTTACACGAATTATAAAATACAAAAAAATATTTAAAAAAATGCATTGTATTAATTATACTATATACTGCACAACTATTATAATTGTTGGCATGGAATGAAAATACATGTATTTTCTGAATGCATATTAATGATCTTACTGTGAACGATTCATCCATGATGTATACTTGGCTGTGTCCGAAATCGCCCCCTATACCCTCATTCACTATTCCCTACATTAGGTCACTAATTCAGTTCACTAGAAGGAGTGAATGAAAACGAGTAGTGAATTCGGACACTGAGTGCACCGGAAGGAATGCCGCTTTTGCATAGTTTGTGCTTGCTGTTTATTAATCATTTGAAACTAGCAAACTAGCAGCTCCAGTAGTAAGATTAAAGGATTTATCTTGAACTCTGTCACGGAAATTATGTATAAACCCTAATCAAACAATTTAATAATCAATTTACAATGAATTTATACCCGTGTTGTACATTATGCTGTACGCCATGGATGAGCTCTTTGTAAAAATGAATGATTGATTATTCAGCTGCGGGCGCAATCTTCTGGCAAGATGTGGGAATTCATTCGGCGCATGACTCTCACGGTGCATTATGGGCATTCTCTAGCCGTTGAGCGTGCACCAGTTGTACACTCGTTTTTGCAGTGCATTGTGGGATTGAATGAGTGCACTCGAGAATGTCCATTATGGTTTCGGACACCACTAAAAATGGCTGTTCCCTCAAATAGTGCCCTATTTAAGGGTATAGGGGACGATTTCGGACACAGCCCTTGTAATTTATGAACTTCCAGAGGTGACACATGGTGACATTGCCGGACTTCGCCAATCAATTAAATCACACGCCTTTCTTACAAGTCTGCATTCAGATATGCCTCCAACCAACCCACAACCAATAGACAGAACCAAGTTCCCCTTCCCTAATTTTTGGGAACTTCTGTTTCACTCAGAAGAAAAGATTTGGCGCTACTTCTGTTTCATCAAGGCTTTAAAAACTTTCACTTTTTATATTTTGTTAACCTTCAATTCATTTTAATGGCACATAAGCAGTTTTTCTTTCATTTTTCCTCCTCCAAAAGAAAAGTTTAGCTTTCAGTTTCAGTGTTAGTTTTAAATATTATAATAAAAGCCTTATGAATCTTGAATGCATACAATATCTTCAATTGGTCTTTGTTGTTTTTTGACAATGCGCTTTGTCATTGCTTCAACACCTAGCAATAAACTGAATGAATGACTTCAAAATATACAACGAGATCCCTGAGATTTGGTCTAGAGCCTATGTTCATTTATACTCACTCTCTGCATTGAGGAATCGAATAGCCAGCAGCTCTGGTTTGGGTTTTTCATCTGCAAAGTCAGCATGTGTATTCCACACCCAGGCCCTGTCACTGCCTGCATTGGGCTTCAGCTCCATCAACGGCATAACTAGAGCAAGAGATTTTGATAAATCAGTTAAAGCCATTACATGATTGGAAAATAATTAACAGAAACTGAACAGATAAACTGCTGCACTCACTGTTATGGTTGGCACAGATTTTAAGGGTGCGGTCTCTTCTCATGAGAAGGCGGATGGAACCCTTCTCTGTGTGTCGCAGGAGTTTGACATCACCCGTCCCACGCTCCTTCCACTCAGGGGGATCGTTATCACTGGCAAAACGATACAGCTTTGCCCTCCTACACGAAAGTCATGTTGAATTTAAATTTGTCAGCAGTCAAATACATTTTTCAGATTATATTAAAAACAGAACCCATGATGATCAATTAATATATTGGTACTTTAGCAGGACTGAACAGTAAGGACTGCCTGATGGCCCAGGGCCAGCGTGAAAGCAGCTCAGGAGAGTTGAAGGAATTGTCACCGTGCCATCACTAAAGTTTATCATTTGCACTTTAAGTAATTTTTAAAATTACTCAAGAACAATATGTGAAAGAACTCAAATCGGTACTGAACTGAGGACTCTATTACTTCTTATCATGCTTGAATGGACAAACTGCACACAAAGCTGTCAATATGCCCATATTTTTGAGTGTCCTCCTCATACATGCAGTCGATTATGTCTTAAGTAATGATTCAAAACAAATCGTAATGATCGTGATCGTTTATGTCCTATATATATATATATATATATATATATATACACGTGTCATATTTATGTCTGTATGTAAATATATTTGCACAGCTTTCAGTAAGTAAAAAAGTTAAGAGTGGGACATAGTTGATACTAAAAGGAGTCATTAAAAGTAGGGTTGTGCGATACCTTGTTAAAAAATGCGATATTCGATACGATATTGCTTAAAGTGTGTAAAATCAATTTCAATTATATTTTAAAATATTTAAAAAACAAACAAAAAAAATTTATGACACTAATTTTATATCGTTGTAACTTTGCTTTCCATACACTAAGTTCTTCTTCATATACCACAGCAAAAACTATAGTCTGAGAAAGTTCAAACATGATTAAATGTAAGTGAACACGCAGTAAAAAAAAAGAAAGAAAAAGGAAAAAAAAGAAATATACAATTTACAAGCATAGATAATATAAACAGTAGTATTCAGGTACAGAAATGTAATAATTAAGTGTAAAATAACACTGCATAGTGTCTCTCTGTGTGTGTGTGCGCTTTGCACGTGTGCAGCAGAACTGAAGAGACGCTGCACGAGATGCGGCTTGTGCGCACGCTTCAGGTGTGAGTCAGATAACAAGACGAGACGGCAAAGTTGTTTTCTGCAACTTATTGCACTTAACTCTTTTTAACGTCAAGCAATTCTCTGCTATATGCGTCGAACTAAAACTCTGACCTTTTGCAACGTTTTGATTTAAGTAGCCTATTATTAAAATGATTCAGATATCGCACACCCTTGCGATATGCATATTGCGATATTTCGATAAATCGTGCAGCCCTAATTAAAAGCCAGAAAAGAGAACCTAATCTGGTAATAACGTATTGATGGAGAGGAATGCGGGCATGCAAAGTATATTTTAGGTTGCGGGCGCACGCCCAATACACAAAAATGTCAAAATGGCTGCCTTGGTGAGTATTCACGTAAACACAACCGTTTTTTTTATATACGGAATGTTAACAGTTGCGAGAAAATAGATTGTGTCTCAATACATTACATTGGTGAATTAAGTCTTAGTGACAGCAGCTTGCTGTCTGCATCAATAATATTAATCAAACAACAAAAGAAAAAGGGAAAAAAAAACAACATCGATTTTGACAATAATATTTGTAGCTTTAATTAAAAAAAAAAAATCTGTGAATATTTCATTCATACTAGGGCTGCACAATTAATCGAATTTCTAATCGCGATTACAATTATGGATGCCACAATTACATAATCGTTCAAAGCGGCAATTAACCGTTTAAAGTCCACTTATGTTATTCTGCGTGCTTAAGATGCGTTTATCTTAAGGGTTTTTCCCATTATTTAAATTTTAGTTTTAGTATAACATTATAATACCATTCATATTTTTACTTTTTTATAATTTAAAGAAGAAACCAATCCGATGTATAGTTGACATTTGAGGCTTAATACTATGGAAAAGCACTAAAAGTTCTTCAGTTAGAGTGTTTTCAGCTTGTTTATTTTCATATAAAAATGCAGCATGCAGTTGCATCAAACAATGGTATAAACATCATTCAATGTAAATTGTGATAATCGTAATTAATAATCGCAATTACAATTTCAAGGGAATAATCGACAATTATGAGTTGTCAATCGTGCAGCCCTAATTCATACAGAGTTGTATTATACATTTGATTACTTTATTCAATGTCTGTAATATCTCTTACTTGAATGCTGTTAGACTTAAAGCTTTTTAATCCGTTTCATTTGTTTTGACTGTTTACTTGTCTTCAATAACTTTCTACTTATCAGTAAGGCTACTAATTTTTACTGCTCAGTATTTTATCGTCATAAAAACCAACATGAAAAAGAATTGTGATTGTGGAACCTGATCCTGCTCGAATAGATAGTGATATAATATTTATGCCGTATCACCCACCCATAATTAGCATTAAGCCCTGTTTGGTAGTAGTTAAGTGACTTACATCTTGAAAAGTTCTTCCTCATCCTCCTCTAGGGTCTTGACATCCTGCTCAGGTAGCGAGACAATGGGTTCAAACTGAGGGTCATGGTTGGGGTCCTCTACATTTTCTGTGGATGCATCATGATCATCTTGTGCCTCCTGGAGGGAGAAAATCATAACAGCAGCTTTTGTAAATCCAACTTAAAAAAAAAAAAAACACACAACATAAACAAGGCCAAACTAATGTCTAATGCAGTTGGGAAATGATCCAGGATTAGATATTTTTTTGGAGAATTACATCACAAATTTGCTACAGCGTTTGTTCTGCTGAGCTTCACAATGTCCTGATCCCCTCTGTAGGGATCCTGCTTCCACATTACTCATCAGATCAGTGGAGTGAAAGGCTGTGGGATTTGGAGGGATCGTTCTCTGGAGTTTGGCCTATTGTCTTTGAATGTGCTGCTGCAACCTAACTTGAGGAGTCGTTAAATTGAACTCACTTGCTGTGATGCTGGGGAATTCATGCACTTGCAATCCACTAATCAATCACCGGTCTAACATCCACGAAGGCCTTGTAGCTTGAATTATTCAAATGCTTTACCAACTCTGGCAGCAGATCTTCTACACATGTGAAGCTTTGAACTGCTCAACCACTTTTAGTTAAGTTTCGTTCAGTAAGCATTTTAAAATTACTAAGCGGTTTATTTTGCTAAACGACTGACTTCACTCAAGAACAGATACCGGATGTTTAACTTGTGTCTAAAGGCGTGAGTTATATCGTTTTCTTAAAACTGGACAGTCAGTTAGCATCCAGGCTAGCAGAAGCTAATAAGCGGCCTAAAGGCGTCTAAGTGTTTAAATCTCCGCCTCACCCCACAGTTTTGATAACATTGAGCAAAAACAGTTAAAAGACGCAAATGGACCCGGAAGGGTGTTAATAAACCGGCTATGAACTTCACATGTGCTGCAGGTTAGCGATGCTAACGCTCACAGGCTAACAGTGTCTTCGCATGAGAAATTAAAACATTTAAATTATGAGCCGTAATTACTCGGAACATGCCGTGGATATTTTTATTACGTAAAAAAAGCACGAATATTTGATTGTCTTATGTTTAAGGAAGTGACGAACACAAATACACATACAATTAATAATTTAAAGACGTTACAGCTGCTACTGACAGTAGCGTGATTTCAAATAAACAACGTTGACAGGGTATAAAAACGCGATATTAAGAATATAATGTGGAAAGGTGCGTTTTTAACGTCTAATATTCAAGCGCGCGACGTAGGACGAGGAAAAAAACACCTGCTTTTCGCTCTGTTAAACAAGACCCTCATAAAACATCTACCGCCAACAAAACATCCAAAATAACCGTCTCTCGCGATCCGAAAGGGACAGATGATGAAGACGGCGGCCTTCTTACCTTTGGGTCCGCCATGGTTCTTGCAGATGTTTGAAGATTAGGGAGAGTTTCTATTCGGTTTGATCAGCGCTAGCTCGTGAGATTTCACTCCGCTACTTTCGCGCGCGCCTAACCGGAGGAGAGACGGTGACGTCAGCACACCCCCGGGTTTACATTCAGCGTCTGCGCATTTGACACTACAGTCTATGATTTGACACTGTAAAGTTTTATGGTCCTGGGATTTTTCTACGTCTCATTGACCCTCTGTAGATCACCTGCAAATGTAAATGCATTTGTAGAGCCCTGCAATGCAGAGGTATTGACCTCCATTAAAGTTTGCCCTGTAAGACTGAATCTTCAGCATGTTCAGCTCTGACACTCTAACAATTTTACATTAGGCTATGTGAAAACTTATGAGATAGATTATCTATGATTTACTGAACTAGCTCTATTGAATGAATACAGAAGAATTAAGCTGCACGAACTGCCTTAAAAATACATATATATATATATATTTTTTTTTTATATATATAAAAAAAATGTATTGCCTTAAAAATCTAGGAAATTATGTATTTTAAATGCTAAAAATGTGTATATATATATATATATATATATATATATAAATAAGTGCAACTGTCTGTCTGTTATGGAGCGTTTAAACAAATGTTGTGCCTTGTGAGGCCCTGGGCTTGGGGTGGAATAAAATATATTTAGTTATTGTTCAGCAGAACAAGAAATATATTTGAAATCATGTTAGGGATCTGCAAATTTTGAATTATTTGATTATTTTGATTAATTAAAAAAATAATAAATGACACATTTAGTGCCTCAGAATGGCAGAGATGAAATCTAAGGCTGTTCTCTTTGTTAACCTAAACTATTTTCTAATATCTCAACAGCAAATCAGTATCAGTATCAGTAAAACAGTATCACAATAATATGACCCCTGCTAACTATACCACCAAGTTGGACATTATTTACAAGGCAATCTGAGATTGTATTGCTGTTCCGATCAGCAGCAGCCAAACAGATTTTCTTCAAGCCAAAGCCCGAAAAGCTAGTTTGTGTCCACAAATCTCTGAGGGGGCCGTCTGGGCTGCAGTTGAGTCCTCTTGGCATGAAACACTGGAGTTTTTCTTTAATCTACACAAGCTTGTATTTTAATTCGTTGTAAGTGAATGTATTTTATTGACCATACACAAAATATACAGGAACAAACCTTGGCATTGCTTCTCAAGTATCCCTTGGCAAATTACGGTCAAACACTGGTTTCACCCGCAAGTCGCAGAGTTTAATCAATTTTTAAAATATACATAAACAACATTTTCTGATTTTAAATACCCCAAATTCCCTCCCGTTTACTTCTTTTTCCTCCCTCCTTCATCTCTCACTTGGCAATCTTTTCCCTAAATCCTAGCAGAGAGGGCACCTACTACCTCCACTAAAATGAAATCACTCTAGTTGTGCAGCATATTGCTTTATTTTTTTTTAAAGACATTTGCGAGCATAAATACTAGTTTGTTTTCTGCTCTGATGTTGGACTGTTCAGAAGTTGAAACAGCAATGTCCTCCAAACTGCCCTTCCAAAAAGAGAAAATGTCCAAAATAATGAGCTATTCTCCTCTCTACGACCCATGCTTTACGAACACAATGCAGATACTAAATGGATGTACTTTCAGTCCTCTGTTCTGTTGGTGTCTTTCTTTCTAGAACTTTCTTAGCCCTTCCAATGGGCAAGTGTGTATAGAGGTGGTGTACATTGTTAAAACTCCAATCTGGGCCTCAGAAGTCTCTTTTTCCATTTGCTTCGCCTCCATACATTTCTGTTGGTCTCATTCAACACCTCTTTGTACGTCCAATAAGTCCTCATTAATCGAGGAAGTCTGTATCTACTGATGGTCACCAACATTTTAGAATAGATCGGGTTGGTAGGCATGGTTACAACTGGTCCACAGTAGGCAGGTGCAGGCAGAGTGAAGGGCAAAGCTTAACTGTTTAACGGCACTAGAGGAAAACTCAATTTAGTCGCAAGGCATGCATGTTACACACTCGGTTCTAGAGTTTGCCCTCGAGAGAGTGTAATATCTATGTGCATGTACATACATCTTGTCTGCGTATGCATGTATGAGTGCAAGTGTGTATGCGTTCAAGTGTATAGGGGTCTCTTGTCTTGCAATCTTAATTAATTGAGTCCTTCTGCCCCACTGCAGCAGGGCATGACGATCTCACACTCTGGGGGAGTATTTGGGGTTTCTTGGCACCTCGGTGAAAGATTTCAGCTCGTAAGGAATCCCAGTGTCCACCTCGATGGACTTGCGGGAGAATAGCAGCCGGATATCATTGTGCAAGTAGATTTTCCCAGATTTGGAACTCTGGAATCTGACATATGTAAACAAAGAGGAGAGGAAAAACAGGTTTGTTGGGATTCATTGCTTCTATTTTGAATATACCACTTAGAAGAGACATACTTTTATGATTATTTTAAAATAGAATATATTAAACAGTTATTTAGTCTTTTAAGTTAGTTGCAAACTAGCCTAAAATCACACACTTGGGGCTATAGAATTAAAAGTATAAAATTTAAAAAACTGTGATCAATTTGCAACTATATGAGAGCAATAGTGGTAGTACAACAGTTTGCACCCATTATACACATATTCATGTGATGCTGAAGTGTTGCTGTCCCATCTTTTTCTTCTAAATGAACAAAACTGACTTATGTCTAAGAGAACTACACTGTGTTTAAAAATTTGGGGTCAGATTATTATTATTATTACTGAAAAACTAATACTTTTATGAATACTTTTATTCAGCAAGAACGCAATAAATTGATCAAAAGTGGCACTAAAGACTTTTACAGTGTTACAAAAAACAATTCAAATTAATGTTGTTCATGTGAACATTCTATAAGTGACCCTGGAGCACAAAACCAGTCTTAAGTCACTGAGGTATATTTGTAGCAATAGCCAAAAATACATTGTATGGGTCAAAATTATAGATTTTTCTTTTATGCCAAAAATCATTAGAACATTAACTAAAGATCATGTTCCATGAAGATATTTTGTAAATTTCCTACTGTAAATATATCAAAACTTAATTTTTGATCAGTAATATGCATTGCTAAGAACTTCATTTGGACAACTCAATATTTAGATTTTTTTGCACCCTCAGATTTCAGATTTTCAAATAGTTGTATCTCGGCCAAATATTGTCCTATCATAACAAACCATACATCAATGGAAAGCTTATTTATTCAGCTTTCAGATGTATTTATCTCAATTTTGATAAATGTACCCTTATGACTGGTTTTGTGGTCCAGGGTCACATATATCAAAGAATCCTGAAAAATCAGTTTCCCCAAAAATGTTAAGAAATGTTTCCTGAGCACCAAATAAGCATATTAGAATGATTTCTAAAAGATTATGTGATACTGAAGACTGTTGTAATGGCTGCTGAAAATTTAGCTTTGCCATCATAGGAATAAATTGCATTTGAAAAAACATATTAAAACAGAAACTTCTTTTAAAACAGTAATAATATTTCAAAATAGTACTATTTTTACTGTATTTTTGATCAAATAATTACAGGTTTGTTAAGTGTAAGAGGCTTCTTTAAAAGAAAAAAAAAGCATTTTGATCAGTAGTGTACATCCTGTCAAAGTTTACCTGAGGTGTATCAAGTAGCAGAGAATCTTCTTCCTGTCAGACAAGGAGCCCTCCTGCCCCTCCCTTGACCCCTCCGCCTCATCAACAGGCACCAGGAAGATACGATGGCGCAAGAAGGTCATGTGATTAACGGGCATGTCCCCAAAATTATACGTCACCAAAAACATTTTAACCACAGTCTTATTAGGGTTAAATAAGGTCTGCAAAAAATAAAACAAACAAAAAAGACAGTTCAAACAAAGGATTAAAAAAGTTGTAACATTTAAAAAAAAAAATTAAAAGTTAAAAAATATTTAAAAAAAATATATAAATAAATGGAAAGAAATAGAAAGAGAGCCCACCACTTGAATGGTCCCTGCTTTGGGTACGCTGTATCCTTTTTTCCCAAGTGGTTCTAGCAAGATCACCCCCTAAACATTGCAAAGAATATGACAGTTAATATGCATTTTACAAAAGAGAATTTACATGTCAATGATGGGTAAAAAAAAAATCTCAATAGATTTAGAAAAAGAAAAAAAGTACTGAGAATTCTGTACTGTAATAGGCCAGATGAATTCAACACACAGAGGCTGTAAGTATATACCAGGAAGGGAGAAGGGGCGCTGTGCTCGGAGGTGTCATAATACGTCACTTGCACAGGTAAGGTGGCATGCTGCGGGCAATATGAGCCGCTAGCCCCGATCTCTGCTGTGAAGCCCTCTATCTGCCCAGATGGAGTGAAACGACCCTTCAGAATCGACTCCTGCAGACAGATGCACACAACAACCGATCAAAAATGCATCAAAACATTAGTCACTGTTGATTAAGGCTGGAATAAATTAAAATAACTTTTAAAATATGAATACATTTTAAAACACTAGTCATCATACAACTGCAGACTTCATATATTGTTACAAAGGAAAAACTGGGCATCAT